CCGTGCGTGCCCGCTAGGGGGCGCGCGCGAGCAGAAAAAAATTGCCGTCTGGAGACGGCAACCCGCAGATGCTGCAGTGCCGTCCGTCCGTTTTTCTACTACGGGCGGACGGCAAGAGGTTAAGTATAAAAGTATATCACAAACTTTTATAAAATATTACAAAACTGGCCAGTGCCTAAACTGAGTCAATGCAGCCTTTTATTTTAAGGGCACAGAGACAAATAATATGATTTTTGTACTTACAGTAAACTTTTTTCCCTGAAGTCCATTGAGGGACACAGGGATTGTAAAAATTCTCAACAGTGTGGGTTTACTGCTGGCTTCAGGAAGTTGAAACACTGGAAAAACAGAAGTTAAATGAGAACTATGGGGTCAGGGCTTTTCCCCATAGTTCTCGTAAGGGTAACGGGAGGACACAAACTAGCGTCCTCCTGTTACCCTAAGCTCAGTATACCGCGAGCTACAGCTCGCGGTATACTAAGATGCCGGAGCGGATCCCGACATCGATGTCGAGACCTGCCCAGCTGCATGAGTGACAGCTGGCTCTGCCTATCTAGAGGCAGAGCCAGCTGTACCCGCCCCCTCCCCCGTCCGTTCTGCCAGTCAGTGCTGGCGGATCGGAGCGGGGGGGGAATCCAGCCCCTCCCCTGTCACGGCAGAGAGCCGTGACAGGATCGAGAGGTGAGCGAACGTCGGTATATGTTCGCTCACCTCCCGATCTACTGAGCCGACCTGTGACAGTCTCATTGTCACAGGTCCGCTAGAACTATGAGGTGAGTGAAAAGCACTCACCTCATAGTTCTCCTTTAAGACACCCTAACTGTCAAAGGATTTAAGAAAAAAATTGTACAATAAGTACAATCATATTTTTCAACAGTCAGGATGTTTAAAAGCAGCCAAGGGATGGATGAAAAACACTAAAAGAACAAACAAGGAGGTCATACTGCAAGAGTATGTGAAGTAATCAATGCCTGAAAAAAGGCTAGATAAGAAAGGGCCAACCAGTTTGGAAACTGTCACCACCAATCAAATGTTGCTCCTGACCAGGACAGATAAACACCACTAAAGAGAAGTGCAAACAAAAGAAGCCATGGATCTTAATCAAAGAATGGAGAACCAACCAACTATCCACTAAAAAACAGGTGCAGCACCACACTACCCGAATGGGAATAAAAAGAAATAGACCAACAACTAAGGTGATTAACAAAACAAAATGTTTACTGGATTTAAGCCCCAGAGCAAAAACAGACATACTATGCCCAATAGAAGACAAACATTTGGAGAACTGCAGGAAATGCTAAGCCTAGCATATCTAACCCTTGACTTAAGTGAAAAGAAACCTGGACAGATAGAACATGTCCAGGGAAAAACCAAATGGTCAACAGCTGTAGTTTAAGTTTAATATTTCTTATAACTGACATCAGGTACATCGAGGTCCAAAAAAAGAAGATACCTGACAGACAACTAACCTCTTAAGGAGGTGGTCAACAACACCGGTATAAAAAGGTAAGCAAGGATGAGGATATATTATAACACAAACTGAACATCAGAATTGCAAAGATGAGAAGGAATACTTACTCCCAACACTCATAGGTGTTTTAAAGGTGTGTTAACCACACTGTAAGCCTGCCTAATCAGTTATAAAATATATGATTCTAGGAATCATTTAACTAACCCAGTAAGAAAAGAATCCTCCACCAAGGTGCAAGACTTAGGAATCCTAGTATTAGCTCTAGGAATATTCACCTGAAAATGCGGTCATTTCGAAGATGGAGAATCTAAGGAAAACAACTAGACCCAAAGTGAAGCAAGGCCTTGCATACTCACAAACCCAAGCAGCAGGTGTTGATGAGGGGGTCAGAGATGGCTGGAGGTGACCAAGTCATTGAAGGTGGACAGTGGAAAAGAAAATGGATGATCCACAAGGTGCTTTAGAAGCAGAAGCGGGACTTAGCTTCCTCTAGGCTGAATGGATGAAAAAGGTGCACAGAGAAAGCACGCACAAACACTTCACATAGCAGATCAGTTCCCTTAGCCTTAACCATTACCGCATTCAAATGGCAGTGGTGGGAATTTAAAATGTTGTCCAATGATACCAATTGTGAAGTAGCTCTCAGCGCTTCAGCCCAACCAGCCTTACTCCCTACTTGAGTACTCAGACACTAGGTCACACCAGAGGCTATGTTACAGCTCTGGACCTGGAGCACGCTCCGTAGTTGATTAACAAAGTATTGAAAGGTCTGGAATAGGGATGCACAGGTACCAAGTACCGTACTTGGTACAAGTACAATACTGATATTTTTCCTGCTCCAAGACTAGACTAGAGAAAAACTCAAAAGTTAGGTGGCAGCAGTCATTTTTAAGGAGCATTTTAAGGATACTTGTCCAAGTACTCAAAGATACCAATTACTGAAGCCTTTTATAATTGTCATGTGACAGTTTTTCTAAAACAATACAGACTAATGATTTCAGGACAGTGACGGAACTGGTATCTGTGCATCCCTAGTCTGGAGAGTGCCACAATGCAGAGCCAAGTGCCTGAAGGTCACATTCCAGGCTATCCCCACAATCTTCAGGCCAGAGGGGTCCAGGTAAGGCCTCCAAAACTGTTGATGAGAATTTGCTGGCTAGATAGCTGCTGTGTAGAGCCTAGCTCAAGCAGTATAAATGAAATCTGGATTGAAAACACCATAGAAAAAAAACATCTACATTTCACTGAGTATCTTTATTTAGGAAAAAATAAAAATAAATGCTAGCAAAATTATAGGTAGAATTTTACTCAGCAGGAAAATACATCCAATCTCCTAGGACACTAGCAAAAAACTGAGGCATGACAACTGGGCATTGGGAATGGCTTAAAAATGAAATTTAGGATTTTTTTGTGTGGGGGAAACAGCGCCATTTGCAGCAGCTGCTTCTGTCAACAATGGTCCTCTCACTGCCTCTCACATAGCCGCCGGATATTACATTAATTGGCGCTGTGAGAGGCTGCAGTGGTAGGAAGCTGTCAGCAGTTGCAGTACAAAGATGCGCCATTGGCCCCGCCTCCCTTAGCTCTCTCCTCCATTCACAGAACTTCTCTTAATATAATCCCACAATGCATCAAGTTCTGTGAATGGAAGAGAGAGCTGTTGAATGACAGAATATACTCCTCCATTCACAGAACTCAATGCATTTTGGGATCATAGTAAAAGAAGTTCTGTGAATGGGGAAGAGGACTGAGGGGGTGGGCCAGAGGCACAACTTTAAACAGCTGCTACTCACAGACTCCTCTTCCTGCAGCTTCACACATTGCCACTAAGTGTAATATCCGGCAGTTGTGAGGGTTGCAGTAAGAGGATGATTGTTGCCAGAAGCAGCTGCTGCAGGTAAGGGAATACACATCTTTTTCTTTGGCGCTGTATCCCCCATTTTTTCCTAAACCTTATCTTTAATGTTTTTTGCTTGCCAGTGCTTGCCTACCTCCTTAAGGCAGCAGTATAACCCAACTATTTAAGAATTTCTACAATTCCTGTGTCCTTCAGTGGATGATAAAGACTTTTTTCTTTTTTCTTTAATCTTGCTTTAGAATGTCTAACACCTGCCAGTGCAGAGCAAATGAAAGTGTTGGCCAGCTCTAATATAATTTAAACGTATTGGGTCACATGAAAATGGAATGCCTTCTAGAAAATACACTTTGAATGCATTTTCTCCAGACAGGCTGGTGCCGGCTTTCATTTGAAAGTTATACGTTTTCATAGAAAGGTAACCAAGAGTGACAGGGAATCAGATCTCAGACGTTTCTTCCCTCTTCTTTTCCTTCTCATTCTGTTAAATTGTTTTTGTGTGGCGCTCTGGAGCTGGGATTCCAATATCTGCAGTAAGTTATGAGAGTGTCAAGTAAATGAAGCAAGTGTTATTTAAATGTCATGGCACTTATATACTGCTGTGTAATCCGTGCTAATTAAAAGTGTGATAGTGCAGTACTCTGGGAATGTACTACAATGATGGATTGCTGTTTACAAAAGCTCTTGTTCTGTTTTTTCCAGCTATGTACACTAAATAAATGCAAACAGGGTTTTTTAAAAAATCATTAAAAACGAATTTCAGTTTTATCACTTGTCTAATCAAGCTGCCATCAAGTAATCAGTCCATATGTCTAGCCAGAGTGTCAGACTGTTCTTTAAACCCAGTGGAGGCCCCTTTGGCTGGCAATGACCCCAACTGAGTCCCTAAATATGAATGTTACAAGTAAAAAACTGAAAAATATTAAAAAATGTTTTCATATCCCAGAGTCATAAAACAAATACATGAATTATGCAAAGTAGTGTGTATTTATAGTGTAAAGTGTCTCTTTTATATATCACATGTATTACTTTTTGATTCATTTACAGGTATCATTTAAAACAGAATAATCATCTGTCCTCTAAATCACACTAGTGGGTATTAAAAGCTAAATAGCTCAAGTCTATAAGATACATGAATCATTTGAAGGGTACTGCAGAGATCAAAGAGCGTGCTCAACATCAGAAACATACTGCATTAGAAACAACACTTTCTATGTCATACTGTTAAACAGAGCCATCTCTGGATAACATTAGCAACAAGCTGGAAACCAAACATGACTAGTTTTTTCAAAGTGCAATAGCAACATGGAACGGTGTGGTTTTTAATGTGCTGCAAGCAAAATAATAAGAGGAAAATGTGCATTTCAGTCACTTTCAGCAACCTCCTGATTCAGTCTGTGTAGCATTTATACATTTCCCCACTGCACATTAGTTATATACAGGTAATGTGAAGGGCAGTCATGAACATATTGCACTGGCATATGACGGTACTTTGTTTTGCTGCCTTAGTATACTTTAAGTGATATTTTTAAAATCGAAATTAAGTGATTTCGATTTTAAAAGAATAATATTAGCAACTTCTATAAAAAAAAATCAAACCATAACAGTACTGACAGATAAATGTTGCTTTCCTTCTAAGAAACTAAAACAAGGTTGTAAGGGCCATAGACCTACCTCTTGGCTGAGGTTGACAAATGTTTCTGTTTTCTCATCCTGTAACTTGTCTGAATCAGCCATACCAGAAAGTCCTCTTGGCAAGATTGTAGTCAGTTCATTTGGTAATTTCAATTTTGGTGACTCATTTGGTGCCTGGTCCTGGCCATCCATTGGACGTACATAAGCTGTTGGCTTTTGCTGAATAGGGTTCAGCTTGGACACGATAGAAGAAGGGAAATTCTGCAAAGAATTTAAACTATTGTTATTCTGGCTACAAGACTTCTCTTTGATGGGTAGATCCAAGTCTATATTGCAATTCAATTTTGAATGTGTTATCCTTCTACTGAGGGGTTTGTCAAATCCACATATTAATAGGTTGTGCTGATGGTCATTGGTTGTAGAAGATTCTGGACTTAACATGTAATGTTTGCTTTTGTCAATTATATGTTTTTGATGTCCACACTTAAAATCACTACTGGAAGAAGTAGCCTTTCTTTGGTCAGTCTTGCTTCCCACCTTCTGCCCCTTCAGGGAATGTCCGGTTAATTGCCAGCTCATGTTGGCTTTGTTGTTCAGCTGTACAGGTGTTGCTGAAGATGTTATACCTGTTTGCAGAGTGTGACAAACCAAGTAATGGCTTTCTGTGGAGTTTTGAGGAAGATGGTCTTCTATCTTCCCACGGGGTGTGTTTGCTGAGTCAGTCTTTGGAATGCCATCAATATTACTTTGGTGGGATCTTTCTGTTAACAGCTCCTTCATTTCATCATAGCTTCCAAGTGTACTTTGGATACGAGTTGAAAGCTCATCTCCTTTGTTAGTCTAAAAGAATAAAAATATAACTCCTTAAGTCCAATAAATACATAGCACATTCAAAATTTTCATTACAATGTGTAATTATAGAGATTAACCGACTACGAGAAATATGGCTTACAAAAATGCGCTTCAGAAATTTCAGAAAATGTTTACCCGAGAAAAGATGATTGGCAAGTGTCTTTTTGGCGGAGACCCTTACCAACTGACATCAACATAGATGTGGACAGGTTTCCCCCACTTCCTTCTAAATAGCTATATTACTTATTCAGTAAGTGAATGGGGATCCCGCAGGCGTAAACAAAGTTATGGATTAACCAGTGGGAAGCCTACAAACAAGGCAGATCTGTCCTATCACATGCTGGGTGGCCTGAATGGTAGGGTCAGCTCTTTATTAGTATCCAGTGTACAAGCATGTGGTAGAGGCAACACAGTACTATTTTGTTTTCCCTCTGGGTCAGATAAACTGAAGGAGGACAATCCAAAAGTAGGTCCTGCAAATACTTATCTTTCTATTGAATACATTATCATTTTGTGTTTTTTTCATAACCAAATCAGTACAATACATATTACCTTGTATGGCTCACTGAAGAGGGGGTAATTGACAAGAAAAATATCCTCACTTGGCTGGACTTCTTGACTCCTCCTTTCCCACTCCTTTCTGCGCAGTACACTTTTATCTTGTTCGTACCCACTGTCAATAAGAAAAACAAAACAAAAACATTAGCTTGCCATTTACATGGCACACATGTGTGGCACCTAGGCATAATTCTAAATACAGATCTAAAAGAAACACAAATTTCATTGCAGCAACCCAAAAGAGTGCATAATTGATGCCAGCTGGATGTGCCTATGATCACTTAAGGGTCAAAGAGGGTTTCTTGTTTTGAGAGAAAAAGGCATACCTCAGTAGACTGGATCAGCTTGTTCTGAATTCCATTCTGGTACAAATGCCTTGTTACAATATACAGTTTAGTCACAGTAATAAGAATGGTAGACTTTAACATAGGTTGAACTAGATGGACCTGTGTCTTTATTGAACTTTACCTACTATGCTACTATGTTTATATGTTTCTAAGAGAAGATAAATTGAGAAGACACATAAAAGTTATCCAAAGACACTAGTCAGATGTTTTTTTTCTTTAAACCTGTGCTAGGAAAACTATATGCATTACATACATTTTAGGGTCTTTGTTGACAGGCTTTTGTTTACTTCAAACAGGTTTTTCATTCCCATACAAGTCTACGTAAATGCATACCCTGCTTGCAGCAGATCACATGCAGGTCAGACGGTGGTCAACTGAAGGTCAAATGCATCTGCCAATGGATTCCTTGTGAATTTAAAAGCGTTTCAAACTGATGTCAATGTTATGTTATCGGCAAAAGCCCAAAGGCTGTTGACACAGCATGTTACTGTACTCCATCTTGTAGTTGCCTGCCTCCGGACTCTGAATCTATAACATACAAAGAACAGGGGAGCTCAGCTATGAGGAAAGATTAACTGACCTGAATTTGTTCTCTCTGGAGAAGAGGCGATTAAGGGGGGACATGATCACCATGTATAAATACTTATATGGTCCATGTAGTGAGCTTGGTGTCAAATTATTCACTTCAAGGTCACTGCTAAGGACAAGGGGGCACTCTCTGCGTCTGGAGGAAAAGAGGTTTAACGTTTGCATACAGAAGGGATTCTTCACGTTAGAGCTGTGAAAATGTGGAACAGACTCCCACAAAAGCTAGTTCTAGCTAGCTCAGTTAATTGTTTTAAAAAATCCGATTGCCTTATGGAATCAGGAAGGGATTTGTTTCCCCTGTTGGAGCAAATTGAGCCATGCTTTATAGGGGGATTTTTTTTGCCTTCCTCTGGATCATCAGTGGGTAATTGAGGGCATAGCGTTCTGTTTAGGCTTTTCTTTTTTTTTTTCTCACATCTCTTTAGGTTGAACTCGGTGGACTTTCTTTGTGTCTTTTGTCCACCTGTCTAACTATGTAACTATGTAAAATGCAGAAGCTCATTTCCTTAGCTCATTTCCTTCCTCATTGTCACCATTTCCATTTAGGCTTTTGTTTATAGCCAGAAGTAAGTGCTTAACAGAGTTAACTAAACTAACTAAAGTTGTAATATATGCCTCTAAATGAAACTAAGGGGTTATTCACTATGGAGCCAAAGAGTACAGCCGTAGCTTCGGCTGAAGCTTCGGCTGCCAGAGCCCTTTTTTAATTGTCCTATTTATTTACATTTCAAAAATAATTTTTCAACTCTTTTTTTTTTCCATTCTTCTCACTTATTTTCTATTCCGCTTGGTACCTCAGAGCTATTCACTCACTGCCGCTCGGCCCCTATGAGAATAGGGGCGAACGGCAGCGAGTGAGCTGCCGGAGCTTTGGCTCAGCCGATCAGGATGTTGGATCACCTAAGTCGAAATCCATCTACACTTCGGCTCAGCCGAACATGTTCTGACTGAAGGCAGCCGATGTACGGCTGATTTCAGCTGATGTACGGCTGAAATCAGCCGTACTGAGCTGGAGTGAATAGCTGAACTTCGTTCGGCTCACTTTACTTCGGCTGGGTTATTTACTCGTGTAAGGGCAAGATGGCGGCTGCGCATGCACGCCCAAACTGGAAGTGCCCGACACCGGACGTGTCCGAAACCGGAAGTGCCCGGAACCGGAAGTGTGCGGAAACACGTGCAACAGCTGTCGCACAGGAAGTGATGCAGCTAATTGGATCTAGCTCACCATATATAGAACGAGTCTGCCCTTGCTCCTTTGCTGATGGTCTTTCTCAGCTAGTTGTTCCTGTGCTTGCTCCTGCTTGCTTCCTGTGACCCAGCTTGTTTTTGGACTTTGCTATTTTGGATTGCTGCCTGCCCCTGACCTCGGCCTGTTTCTGGACTCTGCTTTTGCCTTTCAATTGTGTAACCTGCTGCCCGGCTGGCTCCGACTTCTGGCTCCCCTGACCTCGCTTCAGTCTCCCGTCTCTGCCTGGATACCATCCGCTCAGAGGACTTCTGGACTTATCCTGCATGGCACTCGTGCTCCTCGCTCTCTGACTGCTCCCTGTCCCTACTTCCAGGGGTAGAGAGACGCGAGCCACAAGAGAAGCCTCCTCGCTTTCCGGTCTCTTACCAGGTACGTGACAACTCGGCTGCCTTCGTCAACTTTGTGAATAATCCCCTAAATGTGTTAGTCCAAATTGTTTCAAATAGGGCCCCTTTTCACATTCTGCACTACATGCATACATATCCTGCAAGTGATATTTAGATTTTGTTCATTCCTAAACATAGGCTTTGCCTTACCAGGGAAGATTTAGAAAAAGTGCATTAAACCACAGAAACAATTCTATGTGTTAATGACCCCAATATTTCTTTTTTAATGCTCTCAGGCATCTAAAGATTATGAGATAGTACAAAATGTAAATCACAAGCAGATATTTCCTCATAAAATGTCCTCGGCGTGATCTACGTGAGGATGCCGTCTTTCTGTGGTGAATCTCTTATTAGCTCATTCCCTGAAGAGCTGTTCAAACTACGTGTAGCACTAGATTTCTTTAAAGCCGAGCTTCTGTATTCTGATCTCTGGTAATAAGCCAAGTCGTCAAACTACTCCCTAATCAATCCCCTTTTCTCTGACTGATGTGACATGAGCACAAGTTCGGAACATGAAAAATGCATGGAGACTGAATTGTGTCGCTGCACATCTGAGTGATTGCGATCAGAAGAGAAGGAAATGTGGAGGTTATTTACCTAAAGGAATAGAAAAAAGTCTGTGTGATTTATCTACACCAAAAGCTGTTTATGTCTGATATAATGCATGCTTCTTCTGAATGTCACCGGGAGATGCAAATGCACTGTAGCGGACATCTTAAACTGCTTGCTTTCAAAATATAACAGCACCTATTTCTGTATGATGGCTATCACTGTCCTCATTTATTTAAGCCTCTGTTCTCTCCCAAGGAAAAATCAAGCATAGTTTAGGAATGTTGTGTATACAGACATGAACACATTTGTTGGTACCCTTACAGCTCATTGAAATAATGCTTCCTTTCTCTTGAAGAGTGATGAAATTGAAAGAAATTGTCTCATGTATGTCTGCATGTCTTTCGTTTGTTATAGAGCAAAGCAAAGAAAGTGTAAAAAAAAGTGTAAAGTTTGATTAAAATATTTTATTGTGTATTCTACAAAGATATTCTAAAATGGCCTGTACAGATTTGTTGGTTTCCCTTTAAAAGTTTAATAATAATTGGATAATGGTGATATTTCAAACTACTTTCTGTAATCATTATCACACCTCTTTATCTTATAATCAATTGGCCATCCTTTTAAATAGAGAAAGGTAGTCACTCTGTTTGGCATCATTGTGTGCACAACACTGAACTTGGACCAGGAAAAGCAAATAAAAGAGACATCATAAGAGATCATAAAGAGAAATAAAGACCAGCATGTCAAAGGTAAATGCTATTATCAGCTACAAGGTCCAAAGATTTGTAGCCAACCACCATTAACATGGCCACAAGAGGAAAATTGACGCCAGATTGAACAGAAGTGTGAATGGTGGAAAAATAGCCAAGAAAAACTTCCAGAGATACAAGCTGAACTCCAATCAAAGCACTATGCATCATCTTTTTTTGTGTGATAGTGGACCGAAAGGAAGTGTGCCAAGGAGGACACCACTGTTGAAAGAAAAACGTAAAAAAAGCCACACTGTAATTTTCTAAAATACATATTGTTAAGCCCCAATGCTTCCGGAAGAATGTCATTTGGACAGATGAGACAAAACTGGAGCTTTCTGGTAAGTCACATCAGCTTTATGTTAATAAAGCTTTCAAAGAAAAGATCACTTTACCTACTGTGAAACATGGAGGAGTTATGTTTTCGGGTTGGTCTGCTGAATTTGGCACAGGGTGCCTTGAATCTGTGCAGGGAACACTGAAATCTTAAGGCTTTCAAGGAATTCTGGAGCAAAATGTACTGACCAGGGTCAGAAAGCTCTTTCTCAGGTCAAATGTCCTTCAACAGGAGAATGACCTAAAACACACAACTAAAAGCACGCACGAATGGCTAAGAACAAACTAAGTGGCATTCTATTAGCCCTGATCTGACTCCTATTGAACATCTATAGAAAGAACTGAAACATGCAGTCAGGAAAAGAGTGCGCCAAACTACCTGTTGGCAGTTATGGAAGTCTCAATGAGAGCTAAAGATTTTGCTTGATTGGTGATTGCCTCTAAAGGCTGTGCAGCAAAATATTAGGTTAAGGGTCCCATCATTTTTGTCTATGCCATTTTCATTTGTTTTATTATTTAATATATTCTGTTAAATCAAAAATCAAAAGCATAGACTGATTTTTATTGAATATGTAATAAACAATGAAGGATGCCAAAAATTGTTCATTTCTGTACCTATAGTATAACGACACACATGCCATTCTTGGAAATTTCATGGACAACAGTACAGTAATACCTTGGTTTACAAGTAACTTGGTTTGAGAGTGTTTTGCAAGACAAGCAAACATTTCTGAAAAAATTTGCCTTGATATACAAGCAATGTCTTGCACTAAGAGCAAAATGTTGTAGAAAAGCACCACCGAATAAGGCTGTAGCAGTGCGAGCGATGAGTCTTTTTAACAACAATGCAATGTCACATTGAATAAATTCCTTGTTAAGGTTTCACAAAATGAAAAAGATTCCATTGAGTCAAGAGATAGCAGTGATTCCATTAGTGATAGTGAAAGTTGTCCTACACAATAATCCTCCTCTCTCTTGCCCCCACACCAGCCACGAAGGTACCGGTAATTGGTTTATTTTTCTGTACAGTATTATATTACAGTACAGTATTGTAATAATTTTTATATGAATATTTTTGGGTTGTGGAACAAATCATCTGAATTTTCATTATTTCCTATGGGGAAATTCGCTTTGATATACAAGCGCTTTGGATTACAAGCATGCTTTCGGAACGAATTATGCTCGTAAACCAAGGTATTACTGTACATAACTGGTGAAAGCTAAAGACAAACTCCAGGGGCAAGAAGCAAACTTCAACCTGTTTTAATGGCAAAACAAATACTTAAAAATGTATAGGAGTGCACTGGCTTCCACTGCTCCCATGCCAAGTTCTTCACTGGTCACCACTGCAGCAATGCACACTTCTACACTGACCATTGCCAATGCCACAGCACATCACATACCACAAACTGATGCATTATGTATGTTGAGGCTATACCTTAAATTTCCCAGACTGCTGAAACTCTGTGCACTATACTGAACATTCCTACCTCTTCAAAAGTTATGAAACTTTGAGAATATTTTAAAATAGGGATATAAGAAACCAGTATCTTACATTGCGTGGCAGATAAAAAGACAGATAAATTAATGATGTAAAATAAGACCTGGGAAACATGGACTCAAAAGATGGAGAGCGAAATCAATGGATAAAATGGAATAAGATACAACTGTGCAGGGGATCAGAGTCAAGTAGTTAAGTGCCATAGAGAAAGAGAGGGAAAGAGAAAAGTCCCATAAACACATTGCAAGAGGGTGTAGTTGAGGACTGAGGTGGATCTTCTTTGCCTCCAGCAAGTGCCGATTTTCACTAGAGCTATTAATGGTACAGATAGTAACTGACTGTAGAACAACTAGAGTGGCCTGACTGTTGACAGCTGACAGTCCAAGCAAAACCAAAGCAGAGTAACAGATTGTCATTTTGAGTTCCGTAGTTCTATCTTGTTTCTGTTGTCCTAATACAGAAGGGTGATTGAGCGTTGTCATCCTAAGGGTGCCCATACACCATACAATTATCATACGATTTTCTTCGTCCCATCATTGAACCGTCGTTCAATTTCCGCACAACTTGCACATCATGCACAGATCAATGTGGATTTGAATTATTGTTATGTATCATATTATCGTATGTATGTGCACCTTAAGACTGGAAGTGTGTTACTGGCAAAATCACCAGGGGAAAAAAATAATATATAGCTGCCACCACATTTAAAGACTGGTAATTTGCAATATATACAATTTTTGAGTTTAGATACACTGTAAGGAAGTCAGAGAGTAGAAATTTGAGTCATAATCAAGAGAAATTAAAAATACCAAGAGTCAAAGGGGTTGATTTACTGTTCCCTTTGTTCTCATGTTGCTCATGATTGGGTATTCTTTGCAAATTGAATTTTCATCACATAGCTAAGCTAAGGGAAAATTCCATTGCAAAGAGTGAATTCTGTTACATAGTTACATAGTATTTAAGGTTGAATAAAGACATACGTCCATCAAGTCCAACCTATTGTGTGTGTGTGTGTGTGTGTAGGTCCATGAGTGTTCTCATTCTTAAGAGTACCTGTACCCTTGTACATTACGGTCTCTCAGGAAGTCGTCCAAAAGCTTCTTGAATGATTCCAGACTAATTGTGGAAATCACTGCTTGAGGCAGCGAGTTCCAGACCCTAACCGCGCAAACTGAGAGGAACCCCCTTCGCCCCTTGTGTTTGAATTTTTTTTCTAAAACTGGTAGAAAAAAAATTTCAACAAAAGGGGCGAAGGGGGTTCTTCTCAGTTTGCGCGGTTAGGGTCTGGAACTCGCTGCCTCAAGCAGTGATTTCTGCAATTAGTCTGGAATCATTCAAGAAGCTTTTGGACGACTTCCTGAGAGACCGTAATGTACAAGGTTACAGGTACTCTTAAGAATGAGAACACTCATGGACCTATACACACACACACACACACACACACACACACACACACACAATAGGTTGGACTTGATGGACTGTCTTTATTCAACCTCAAATACTATGTAACTATGTAACAGAATTCACTCTTTGCAATGGAATTTTCGCTTAGCTATGTGATGAAAATTCAATTTGCAAAGAATAACCAATCATGAGCAACAAAACTCAGTAGAGCTTCACCTTATTCACTAAGCTAAAGGGAAAATTCCCTTGCAAAGTAAACAGCCTATTTGTGGTTAGTAAATCAACCCCTTTGAATCAGTTTGGTTCCAGAATACCAACATGGTAAAGATACAGTGAT